GCTCAACCAAATGCTTTTTAACAATGGATCTGTGCCGATATACTCTGCCTTCCTTCTTATTAAGAATAAACCACCTATGCTTCTACTTAAGGTGATATCTCTGCTTGTACACACTGCTTTAACAATTTTCCACTCTTTCTTGCATCATCAGTTTATTCCTCTCTCTTGGAGCGCTCCCATTAGTATGCTATTTCTCTCCTATTCAAAAAAATCCTCTCTTCACTCCAGCTTCCCCCTTAAGCTGCTGCTACATGTGTTTCTCCTCCCACTCTCCCTTGAATAGTCCATCTTTAACTTCACCTATAAATAAGATTTTCACAGATGATCACTCTTCCTTCCTTCAAACATTTACATCACTTTCAGATATTCTGAAAGACAAATGAGTTTTCCTCTTAACCTCACTGAGTTTTCTTCTCTAGCCACATCTACTACTTCCTCTTTTTCTCCTAACCCCTTTACTAAAGGTGCCCCAAGGCCAGGATTTTAAGTCTTCTCTATCTATGTTTACTGTACTGCATCAATGTTACATCTTGATACCATTTGACCTTTGTACTTTGTGATCCTTCAGCTCACTCTCTCACCTCCTTCAGGTCTTTACTCACATGTTACCTTATCGGTGAGCTTTCCCTGATCACTCTATTTAAAATTTCCATTCTTCTCCCTATACTCCAAACTCTCTATCTCCCACTGGCTGCTTTATTTTCCTTCACAGAATCACTGTCTAAGGTACTATATATTTTATTTATTTATCCTGCTACTTATCAACCTCTCCACCCTGGAATGTAAGCTTAATCAAGTTAAGGATTTTTATCCATTCTGTTTTCAGTGCGATAGCTCCTAAAACAGTCCTCAATGAGTAAGACCGGCTTCAAATTTCTCGGGAGGAATAATGGATAGTAGAAAAAATTAAAGCAAAGCTTTCAAAGTTCAGAGGAAAATCACTCTAAACTAGAAACATATACCCAGCTAAATTATCAATCAACTGTGAAAATAAAATAGAAAATTTTTCTAATATTCACAACTCAGAAAATTCATCTCCCATTTAGCCTTTCTGAAGTTGTAGTTAAAGGATGGATGATGACAAAAATGGGATATAAAAACCAGTACAACTAACTCAATATTATAGTGAAAAGAAATCTCCGAAAGACAGGCCAGCAAAAGAACAAGGAAGCTCTGTTTTATATTTAACTAGGAGGTTGAGGTTGAGAAATGTCCTCAAATAGAGTGTAAATAACTTTACCAAAATGTTATTTTATGATTTAGGAGCCCAAAAGTACAACTGTAGTACGCTATCAAAAAATATATATATATATATATATATATATACAGGCATAAATCTCTTACGAGCATTAAACAAAAAGAACGGCAATTTAAAACTCTTATTTAAAAAAACTACACATATACCTAAAAGAAACAAAAATGATACAAATGTGAAAGAAAATATATGATTTTGAGCAAATGAAGAAAAGAAACCTTTTATTCTGGGAAAAATGTGTTCACTGGTCAGGTAGTTCTGGAGAGAAAATAGAACTGAATGATAGTCTGAAATGATGTATAATTACTATTTAAGAAATATAATTGCTAAATAAGAAATAAAATATGCAACAGGCATGGTGGCTCATGCCTATATAATCCCAGCACTTTAAGAGACCAAGATAGGTGGATCACTTGAGCTCAGGAGTTCAAGACCAGCCTGGGCAACATGGCAAAACCCTGTCTCTACAAAAAATACAAAAATTAGCCAGGTATGGTGGCTCACGCTTATGGTCCCAGTTATTTGGGAGGCTGAGGTAAGAGGATTGCTTGTGCCTAGGAGGCAGAGGTTGCAGTGGGCTGACATCATGCCACTGCACTCTGGCCTGGGAGACAGAGTGACACCCAATCTCAAAAAAATAAAAGAAATAAATTACTTAAATATATAAGAAATAGATCATTTCTCTACTTTGTTAAAAGTCATTTATCGGTATCATAAGATATCCTGACAAAAAAAAAAAAAAAAGGAAAATAGTAAGTGTTAGCAAAATGTAGAGAAAGTGGAACCCAGCTGGGTGAGATGGCTCATGCCTGTAATCCTAACACTTTGGGAAGCCAAGGTGGGCGAACTGCCTGAGCTCAGGAGTTCAAGACCAGCCTTGGCAACATGGAAAAAACCCCGTTTCTACTAAAAATACAAAGAATTCGCCGGGCATGGTGGCATGCATCTGTAGTCCCAGCTACTCAGGGGGCTGAGGGAGGAGAATCGCTTGAACCTGGGAGGCAGAGGTTGCAGTGAGCCAAGATTGTGCTACTGCATTCCAGCCTAGGCGACAGAGCAAGACTCTGTCTCAAAGAAAGTAGAACCCTCATGCCTGGGCGACAGAGCAAGACTCTGTCTCAAAGAAAGTAGAACCCTCATACACTGCTGACAGGAATGTAAAATGATGCAACTGCCATGGAAAAGTTTGATGGTTCCTCAAAAAGTTAAACACAGAATTACAATATGACCTAGCAATTCCACTCGTAGGCACATACCCATATGAACGGAGAATAGGTTCTCAAACAGGTTCATTAACACATTTAGAGCAGCACTATTCAGAGTAACCAAAAAGTAGAAGCAAACCAAATGTACATGAATGAATAAATGGATAAACAAATGGACTAGCATTCAGCCAAGAAAAGTAATGAAGTAATAATAAGTGCTATAACATGAATAAAAATTTGAAATATTATGTTAAATGAAAGAAGCTACCCACAAAACATCACATATTTTATGATTACATTCATATTAAATATACAGAACACATAAATCCACAGAGACAGAATGCAGACTGATGGATGTCAGAGCCTAGGGCTAAGGCAGAATGAAAACAAACTGCTAAATGGGTAAGGTACTTTACTTTGGCATGATGGAAATGTTCTGAACTCGATAGAGGTGGAAGGTTGCACAACACTGTCAATGTACTCAATACCACGGAACTGTTCACTTCAAAATGGTGAATTCTGTGTTATACAAATTTCACCTCAATAGATTATGTTAACATAAAAGGTATTCTGCTTTCAGTTCACTCTTTCTATTTTCTTATTTCCAGAGTAAAGATTTCCAAATATGTTCATAATGTTATTTAACTTTGGAAGGTTCTTAGAAACTAACATTTATGGTTTTTTTTTTTTTGCGGGGGGGATGTATATGAGGTTCAGTAATTCTTTAAGCTTCATTTCAGGGTTTTTAAAATTTCCTCTGTTAAATTCAAGTAAAATTAAATGTAATAAACTTCATTTTTAAAATGGTGTATCAGTTCATCTCTGTATGACAGGATTCAAAATATTTTTTTTTAATTTTTTAAGTTGACTTATTTATTTATTTTGAGATGCAAGGCTGTCTCAAAATAAATAAATCGTGCAGTGGCATGATCTCGGCTCACTGCAACCTCTGCTTCCCGGGTTCAAGCGATTCTTCTGCCTCAGCCTCCCCAGTAGCTGGGATTACAGGTGACTGCCACGACTGCCGGCAAGTTTTTTGTACTTTTAGTAGATACAGGGTTTCACCATGTTGTCCAGGATGGTCTTGAACTCCTGACCTTGTGATTCACCTGCCTTAGCCTCCCAAAGTGCTGGGATTACAGGCGTGAGCCACTGTACCCGGCCAACATTTATTTTTTCCACAGAGATGGGGATTTGCTATGTTGCCCAGGCTGGTCTCCAACTCCTGAGCTCAAGCAATCTGTTCACCTCAGCCTCCCAAAGTGCTGGGATTACAGGTATGAGCCACCATGCCCAGCCAGGATTAGGGACAATTTTTATCCTCTTTATGTTTTTCTACATTTACCAAACTTTTTAATAAAAAAAATTACTTTTATACATCAGGAAAAAATGTCTTCAATTTATTAAAAAGATACAAATGTTAAATAAAATGGGAATGGGTACTAGAAGAGACCACTTTGGGAAAGGACCTGGGTTATTCTAACTTGATATTCAGGATGTAAAAAGTTAAACATGTTTCAAACCAAGAATGATTTGAGGGCATCTGGATGCACATACAATTTAAACAGACAAAATACACAAGAAGAGAATAAAGAAATATACACCTTACTATAAAGACGTGATTATATCAAAAATTTATTCTCCTTTAAAATTCTGAGATCTCAGTACTTGTGCCTATGTTCTCACTATAAAAGAACCCAGTAAGGACTGCGGTGTTTCCCAGCAGTTACCCAGTTCTCTCACTAAGTCATTTGATAGTCTATATTGAATGGGGAAAGAGATGAGACGCACAGAAGAGACAAGAAAAAAGGCAGCTTCACTGAGGCAGAAGAGAAACTATCTCTTTTATTTTACTCTCCCAAAAAATCAGTGATGAGCAAACATTCACGTGATCTAAAGCTGGGATTCTGAAACTGCATAAGTGACACATACCAGGAAGCATTAAATAAAATATACAAAGAATATAATATAATATAGCATCAACCACATCCCAGGTAGTTGGAGTAAGAATTAAACTTTTGTTTCAGTTTCATTTATACCAATAGGACTCGGCTCATAAATGTACATTTTATTCCTCACTACGGGTTGTAATAAGGAAAAAAATTGTGAATGTTATCCGATACACCTCCAATTCTAAGTTCAATCATTCTAGTTTCCTACTTCTGTAAGAAATGGTGGGGGAGTGGGGAGTAGAGAAAAGAAAATAAAAGGTCTATGGATACAAAAAGTATTCCCTAAGGAAAATGCTGAAGTCTGCTGGTGGGAAAACACTTTTAAAAGACACCCTGAAGACTCAGCTAACTGAGAAGAAAAACAATGGACAAAGGGGAAAGAATGGAAACTGGTGACTAAAAGTAGGAGGCAGGACAGAAACAGATCAGGAAACTGAGTAACTGAAGGACTCTTCAATCTAAATTTGGCAGAAGTACCCAAGCACACATACTTTTTTTTGTACAAAAATCTATGGAACGCATTACTATGGTAAGGGTATTGAGAGTATTCTATTTTAAAATGTATATTTTGAATAAATATATGCTTACCTTTGGGGAGAACTTTACTGGTCCACAAATCCGGTTGACATGTGAAAATGCACGTTCTTGTCATAGATCAAAAATGACTTAGGCTCAGTACAACAGAGTTCTCCAAACACAAGTCTTGGTTTGCAAACAGAAATTGAAGAGGAATCAAGAAACAGAGACAAGCTAAGTTCTCTCTTAATTGCTGGAAAAATAGCATCTCCCTAGAAAAATAAATAAAATAGCTTCAAATGCTCCTACCCCAGGAGAAACCCTAAATCATATCAAATCATAAATCATAACCCTAAATCATATCAAACCCTAAATCATATCAAACAATACCATACAAAAAGCAGGCTAAAAAGAATTCCTATCAAAATATTTTAAGTTCTTAGAGGACAAATATTAGCCTACTCATTAATCACTCTTTCCTTCACCTATTTCAACTCCTGGAAGAAAGAGAGGCATTTTATAATGCCAAAAATAAATGGCATTTTACATATATAATACAAAAACAACAGGTTTCACTATCAAACGATCACCTCTAATTTGTTTAACTTTGCACTGAAATGGCAAAAAAGTGTTGAAATAAGAAACTATTCTAACACGTAGTAAAATAATATCACATTTTAAAATCACATAATATAAAAATGGAAATTTGACATTTGAAAACAAATGAGAAAAAAATTCCATTGAAAATGGATTCTAAAGCATTAATAAAATGTAAAATTAGAATATAGATGCATCAGTGATGACAAGTTAATATTATTTAGGTGTTAAAATTAATTTTCACAGCCTTTTTCTAAAGAAAAAACTTTTTTCATCTTCAGTAATACACCTCCATAAATAATCATACACATAGATATATTTACATAAAATCTGTAAGATTAACAACTAAATTTCTTAGCTAGGCTATCCAATTTAAGTAAAGAACCTCTTAATAATAAAAAATTACTAAATATATTATCAACTTCCTCTAGATATCATTCTCTATTAGTTCTTAAGGTTCAAAAACCTATTAAGAGCTTACTGGTGGCTTGGTACACATATAAAAAGATAGCAGCAGTTAGCTAATATAATGTAAAACATAATCAACAACATGAAACTGAAAAAGCTGACAACAGATTCCAACTGAAATTTACTGAGATTCAATACAAATTATTTCAAACACATTTTAGTATCACATGCTACTAAAATCGAGTAACAAAAGTCACTCTTCTGGAAACAGGATTTCCAGAAACTTTTTTTGTCCTTTTAGATATACTCATTTTATTGAATACAATTCATGCTCTATTTGTGTGTCAGTTTGGTGAAGAGAATTATGCATTACATTGTGATGCTGCATTTTCTTATTTTAACTTTCAATCTAATTTGAAAAGTAACAAACAATATTTTCCTAAATTATATTATATATATGGAAAATATCTAAATATCATCAGCTGCTCCTTGTACAGTGCTATATTCACATTTTTTCATGTATGGTTGAACTAAAAATTGCTATACCACTAAAACAAAGCATGACTATTTCTCATCTTTCTTTTGTAAAAATACAGACCACTTTCATTCCCTTCGGATGCCTGTTTAGAATAAAAGATATTCAAATAGTTTTCAACTACTCCAACATATGTGTATTTGATGAAATCTGTATTTAAGTACCTATATATTGTCATAGTACTATGTCACTACTATTCAGAGAATGATGGCTATTTCTTCAGAAAGTGTAACGGTAACAAGAAGAAAAAGTAACACTACAATCAGTGTCCTGAGTAGTTGTAATGTGTTTTATTTCTAAATACATACTTTAGATCAATTTTTTATTTTAGGCCAATTTTCAATTTCTTACACTGCCAAGATCCTTAATTAACCTTCTTGTTGTGACAGGATATAGCCAACAAAAGAACAAATTGAGGCACCTACCATCAAAGAAACCAAGAAAGGAGAAGAGAAAAAAAAAAGAGAACACTATGGGCAGAATTAGCAAACACAAAAAAACATCTCTACAGTAAGACTATATGAAACAACTAAACTTTATCAGAAATCCATATGCAGAAGGAATATTTACCACAGTCTCACTGAAAGGATATACCAGTTCTTTTTCTAGCTATTCTCTTAGGAATTACATAAATATTGTGAAATCTAGAAATAGATATACACATGCACATATAAAACTTATTGTCAGTGTATAAGTTACTGCTGCCCTGGGACTGCAATAATTTATGTAACATCTGTTTTTATATTTTCCTAATTTTTTTCCTAATTAACATGCATATTCAACGCACAAATGCGCAGACCACCTCTTTTTTCTGCTGACTGTGCCTCTTTTTTTGAAGTTGTGCACTCCTAGGGAGAATTCAGGATAGATGAAAACCAAAATCTTATTGAGAGCACTAATTTTAAAATGTAAACAACAGCATGAAACCAATTTTCAACAAAATACTAAAGTCTTAGGAGTTCTCAAAATACACTTCAATCTGCCAACAATAGTCAGACTAGTAGTAAATAACGGCCCAAACATAAAAAGTCAACATAAAAGCATAATCTCAATATTACTTAAACATTCTTGATTTCAAACTTCCAAAGGAGCTAAGGAACCTACTAAAATATCCATGATTTCTTGTCTTAACAAGGTTGGAAAAATTTTAAAGATTTTATGCCTTAGACAACTAAAATAAACACATTCCATATAGTAAACATAAATTTGTATATAACCAGTGATCGCCTTTTTGGATTATAAACTTCAAATACTGTGCAGATTCAACAAAAGGGGAAAGTTTTTATTCAAAAAACACTGTATTACATTCAAGTACAATACAGTGAAGTTCTGAGAAGATTTTAAGCTGTATTAGGTAATTCAAAATACTACTTATGCTTTTATTCTTTTTGTAGACATGGGGGTCTCACTTGGTTGCTTAAGCTGGTCTCAAGCTCCTGGCTTCAAGAGCTTATCAAACCAATGCTACAACAACTTAAGAATTCCCAAATAAAGTGTAAAGTCGTTAGAAAAGCAAGTAAGTAATAAAGTCATACTTCCAATTGAAGACTCCCTGAACCCACACCCCAAGCCCTTTCCACTAAAAAGTAGGATGGCATGTGTACTGTCAAGAGTCTGAGCTTTAAAATAAATCAACCTTAGTTACAATCCTGGCCAGTACTTCCTACTGGCAATATTTCCTCACCGGTAATTCCTACCTTGCTAGAAGTGTTAACATTTTTGAAAATATTAAGTGCAGATTCCGACACGATACATAGGGTTGTACATCACTATTAACGTCACATGTTCCTCTACCACAGGAGTGCCAGCTGAGGAAAGACTTAGAGCAGAAGGCTATTCACAGATCTCATTGTTCTAAGGCTGACCTGTAAGCTTTGAAAATTTCACGGTCTAGAGAATGGCAGGTCATCAGGAACAGCTTACCTCCATCCCTTCCCCATGTGAGGAAAAAAGGGGTTCCATCAGAAAAGTCAAGAGCCAATAGCCTAAAAGCCATCAGTAGGGAATTCAGCAGTGGTTCTAAAACTTTAGTGTACATATTAAAAAATCACTTGAGAAGCTTATTAAAATGGAGATTCACAATCAGACTCTCTCAAACATTCTGATACAGTAGTGGAAGAGAATACTTTTCCAGCTTTTTCTTTTCCGGAGACAGTCTCGCACTGTCGCCCGGGCTGGAGCGCAGTGGCACAATCTTGGCTCCCTGCAACCTCTGCCTCCCAGGTTCAAGCAATTCTCCTGCCTCAGCCTCCCGAGTAGCTGGGATTACAGGTGCCCCCCATCACACCCAGGTAATTTTTTTGTATTTTAAGAGAGACGGGGTTTCACCATGTTGGCTAGGCTGGTCTTGAACTCCTGACCTCGTGATCCGCCCGCCTTGGCCTCCCACAGTGCTGGGATTACAGACATGGGCCACTGCGCCCAGCCACTTTTCCAGCTTTCTAAAAATACATGTACCAACTAAAACCACTTTGTATTCTTTAGCCACATAACTTTCAAATTATTTGTTGAACAAATTAAAATGAACCCAACTTAATATGAAAATTTCAGATATTTCTCTGAGCAACACTTCCAATGTTCCTTCTCAATTAAAAAAAAAGGAATGATCAAACAAAAGCAGTTTTAACTATACATAAAACGCCTCCACCAAATTTGATTTTCCTTAACACAACATTTACTTTTCTAATTAAAGACTCATTTACTGATAACATATAACTCATTTACTCCTTTACTGAGTAAGTCATTTATTAGTATACATACTAGAAGACATAGAAATGTTAAGAGAGATGAATGGTTCATAGGAAAATCTTGTTGCAGAAGTTATACATAAGAGGGTCTAATATAATAAGAGTTACCAAAGAAAAATTTTCTTTAAAGAATAAAAGCGGCCGGGTGTGGTGGCTCATGCCTGTAATTACAGCACTTTGGGAGGCTGAGGCAGGCGGATCACAAGGTCAGGAGTTCAAGACCAGCCTGACCAACACAATGAAATCCTGTTTCTACGAAAAATACAAAAAAGCAGCTGGGTGTGGTGGTGGGCGCCTGAAATCCCAGCTACTCGGGAGGCTGAGGCAGGATAATCACTTGAACCCAGGAGGCAGAGGTTGCAGTGAGCAGAGAAGGTGCCACTGCACTCCAGCCTGGGCAACAATGTGAGACTCTGTCTCCAAAACAAAAAAAAAAAGAAAGAATAAAAGCTTACATACAGCCCTGCTTGGTGATGCCAGTGGGCACTAACATACACAGGTACCAAAGCAGTATTCAGGACAGAAAATGTCTACCATATTTCCCAACACTGTCAATCACTCAAAACATTAAAAGGATGTCCACTTTCCCCTCTGCATGAACCACAAACTGTCACTATGGAACACTGCTGATCCGACAGTTCCCATTAACCTGATCTACTGCCACACTAAGTCAGGTCTGGCAATAATGTTCTGGTGACTTACAAATTCTAACAAATTATAAACTCTAAACTTTCACCCAAGGTTAACAGAACTTATTTTTTAATTTTGAAATTTTAAGATGATATAATTCTTTCAAGGCTTATCTATGAAGTCATATGTAGGCAGCTAGTTTTTAAATTATTGCATAGTATTTCCTTGTGTTCTTCTAAAACAAAGATGCCCACTCAAGTTAGTTTGTTTATACCCTATGACTTACATCATGACCGTGCTAGGGAATAAAAGGCCAAAGATAGTAAAAATTCCTTGAAAATTGACTTTAGTAAAA